TTAAAATTAAAGCAAGCGATTAAACACACAACACCACCGGGTTACAACTTATAAAACAGGAATAGTGAAATATCAGAAGCTGACAGTGGTTTCTGACCTAGTTTTAACTGGAGAACTGTCAAAGAGCCGAAAAGACTGAGGCGAGGCTGAAGGTGCTGAAATTCCAGTACTGGAGCTTGAAGTGCTGGGGAACAGGATTAGAGCGAAAGCCCTCAGACATTCAAACTACTGAGGAAGCTTCCCGGAGAACAAGGAACTTAAGGTTCAAGAGCTTTGGTTAAACGTCAAGTGACATGCCGGGGAGGAGGGACAGGAGGGTTTCGGCAAGAGGGCGATGAAGCCACAGGCGCTGCAGGACCTCCTTCCTCGCCGCCTTGCTGAATGGTGGCTACGGGGCAGCGAGGAGCCAAGGCTCGGAGGAGATAACCTCAAGTTCTGAGAGACGGGAAGAAACCATTTCAGAACAGCGCACATGTATTTTGAAAGATATTTTAGTTGCTTTTCTTCGGAGAACACGAACGCGCTGTCAAACACCTGTGCTCATTTGCATAACAAGAGAAAAATTAAAACCCCGTTACGCAAATAAACTGCAAGTACTTGGGTACCGAGGGGTACCTGGAGATACAGGGGGGCTGGTGCAAAGAAAGCTGAGAGGTCCCATCCCAGTAAGCTGTTCACATGGCTCCCTCTTTTCCCCTGCTCCAGAGTTGACTACATTTCCCCAGGCAGCTCCGCGCTGGTTTTAAGCCTCATTAAGAAGCAGTATGTTGCTGGCCTGACATGTCAGATTTTTAAATGACCTTTGTACCGAGAACAGCGTTACCAAGCTGCTAAGAAGAGGGAGGGGGGGAGAGAAAAAAAAAGTCCGTTTCCATGATTAGGAGAGGTATGTTCTGCCTGTTTGCATTTATTTTAGTTCAAAAAAAACCCCCACCTGTCAGTAAACCGAGCCATAAAAAAAAAGAGAGCAATTCTCTCTGAAGGGCAGCTGTGACGGCATCAGCACTGTTAGCCATTCTTAACGTTGTACTTATCACCCAAGGTAAACAGGAGTGACTATCAGTTAATGAACAACACAAGCCTAAGGCTGAATTTTAAAGAGTGTTTTCTCCACTGCAATCTTTTAATGAAAATACAGCAGTTCTAACCCACCGAATTTGCTTACGAAAGTCTAATTTATTTTAGGACATATTAAGACATCAGGGCTGATTCACTTGCCTATGTGCTCATATGATGGCTTAAACGAGCTGCTGAAACATCAGTATGATCCTTATCTTCCACACGGCTTTTCTACTTTTCTTGCAAGAGAAAAATATAGAAAGGCAATTTAGAGATCAGATTGACGAACCCGTTCAACCATCCCAGAACAAATCTCACCTAATACACACACTGCTGAGCCCAGGAAAACAAGCCCGGACCAGTTTTCTCCTTGTGCCCAACTATATCCTATTGACACTTTTAAAGGGAAGCGTAATTACTAGTCTGCCAAAGTTCTACTTAAGACGATCTTCAGACGTTCCTCACGGAGTCAGAGCCAGCCCTGCTGCAAAAGACTACGATAAACCAAAGTCAGCAGAGCCAGCATCCTAAAGGAATCCCGGAGAAATCCAACCACCAACACCCCACGAGCAAGATCAACCCCAAAAGCCAAAGCAAGATGCTCAGACATGGCTTCTCCTGGTTTTCAGGCAAACAGAGGTGCTCCAACGCTGAGCGGGACTCTGGGAACGCAACCCAGCAGAAACTCAGTATTGAACTGGGACCCCACTGAAATTTCCTACCATCTCACCATCTTCAGGGGGGAGTTAGCTTTTAAGCCATTGCAAACGCCAGGGTTTTGTTTGGTTTTTGGTGTTTTGTTTTGTTTTGTTTTTTTCCTACCACTGAGGGAAGTTGCTCACAAAACATCCAGCTGAAAGTATTGAGCAATACAACCCCACCAGATTTCCTACCACATTATAACCTGGTTGTGTTACGTACCCTCCGCTATCACAGTGCTGCCAACAGCCTCCTCGCAAACACCATCTTCCAGGAGTGCCTGATTTCTCCGCTAGAAAAGCAAAGGCAGCCGCCTGAAGAAGCCACTACCGAGTTAAATGAGGTACTCCCTCTCCTTCAGCGAGGAGCACAGAACCCGCTCTGTTTCAGCTACGTCTTTATTTGCACTGCCAGGCTGGTTGGTAACAAACCTGCTCCAAAAATAAAGCGACAAACAGTAAAAAGAAAGAACATACTCTTCTAAACTGGCAAAAATCTACCTAAAAAAAAAAAAAAAAAGAAATCAGATATTCCTTTGCTCCCCGCAAGGACACCTGTGAAAGTTCAGGTTACACCAAATTCCAAAAATGAACATGAAAATTTTTCAGATAAGAACAGTAAAAACATACCACCTCTGCTGACTAAACAGAGATTGACCACAGAGCTGCAAAAAGACTCCCTGGGTCCAAACCCAAAAGCCCCGAGAGATTTCATGCATTAAGACAGAGAATCTCTCTCGCCCGACAGAGTGCGTCGAGGCAGTTAATCTAACTCATACATGCAAAAGAAGTGGTATGGTCACTGAGCCGGCACTTAATTGTCTGACCAGAATTTTTGGTCTAAATATAACAATCCACCGAAGTTCAAGTTAGCTAAAACATTTTGCTTTCTTAACTGAGCCCATCTGAGGTTAAAGTGTGTTTCTTGCTGTCAACGTCCGTAAATTTAGTCTTAATGACAAGTAAAAGGCCTTAATATGGATTTAAATGGCCTTAATTGTATGAGATCGCTAAAACTTGCAGTGAGATGCAGACGGCAACTACAGTAGATACATCTCCAGTGCAAC